TCTATAGCTCCAATTCACAAAACATCATCTCTTTCCAGTTCACCAGATCATCCAGTCAGATTGATTCAAAGTTTTCTATCTAAGGAAAACCAGCTGATTGCATCGACTCATTGACTCTTCAGCAATCCTTCACACTAAGCATGCTTGTAGCGACAGTGGAGAGGAAAAACTCCCTTTGAACAGGAAGAAACCTCCAGCAGAACCAGGCTCAGTGTGAGCGGCCATCTGCTGAGGCCCACTGGGGTTCAAGGAGACAGAAGCAGACATAGAAAAAGAAGCATAGATACAAAAGGCAACTGTCAACCAGCTCCACAGGCGGCCCCGTCCAGGAAACACACAGCCAGGCAGACGAGCTCCGAGCCAGCTCCCATGTCAGAGGATGAAGAGAGCACATCCAGTTAGTCACAGTCAGAGAAACAGGACTACACTGGAAAACAGGCCAAGCTCCAACATCTAGAAACAAAGGTGTTGATGGCAGCAGCACAACTGATATTTCTCTCCAGGATGGAGTCACAGCCAAACAGGAACAGACCAGATGAAGCTACTATGAGAAAAAGCAGAGAGAGCAGAACGTTAGAGATTGAACTAACAGATTCTGCAGAGTGGGAGAATAGAGATAGAATGAAGCAGAATGATGAAAAAGGGGTCCCTATGTCCTCCAGCAGTCTAAGCCTATAGCAGCAGAACTATAGAGATAGCTCAGGATAACCTCAGGGAGAGTGCCCACTTTCTCTCCCTGAGAGCGACGCACGTCCCAGGAGACTTGAACACGGGTGCGGACCTGCTGTCCAGAGGCGCGCCAGTGTACGGGGAATGGAAGCTGCACCCACAGGTCGTGGAGCAGATATGGGCGCGCTACGGGCGCGCTCAGATAGATCTGTTCGCGTCCAGGGAAAACGCTCAATGCGAGCTGTTCTTCTGTCTGAGCACTCTGAATGCCCCTCTGGGCGTAGACGCACTAGCGCACGCCTGGCTGCACGAGCTGCTATACGCGTTTCCACCGCTGGCCCTGATACCCCCCACTCTCGCCAGAGTGAGGGCATTCAATCACAGACTGATCCTAATAGCTCCGCACTGGCCAGCGCAACACTGGCTGGCGGAGATATTCCAGTTGCTGTGCGCCCAGCCTTGGGAGCTGCCGCTGCGCAGGGACCTGCTCTCGCAGGGTGCGGGGACAGTGTTCCACCCACACCCGGAGCGACTGCAGCTGTGGGCCTGGCCCGTGAGTGGCTTAATTTAACCACTGCCGGGCTCCCTCAGAGTGTAATTAATACTATCCAAAACGCCAGGGCTCCCTCCACTAGGAACCTATATGGCTCCAAGTGGGGACTGTTTGAGCGGTGGTGTCTTGAACGGGACTACGTTCCTTTTCAGTGTTCTGTACCAGCGATTCTGTCGTTTTTACAGGAACTGATTGATAAAGGAAAAGCTTTTTCCACGGTTAAGGTTTATCTGGCAGCTATAGCAGCATGCCATATAGGATTTGGAGACAAAACGGCGAGCCAACACCCTTTGGTTTGTCGGTTTATGAAGGGCGCCCACAGGCTCCTCCCTGTCTCCAGACCTTTGCTGCCTCCGTGGGATTTGTCGGTGGTTCTGGAGGGGCTTAAGGGACCCCCATTTGAACCGTTGTTGGGGTCCAGTCTTAAACATCTGTCTCTCAAGACAGTGCTGTTACTGGCCCTGGCCTCTGCGAAACGAGTCAGCGACATTCATGCGCTCTCTGTGAGCCCTGCATGTACCCGGTTCGACCCGGAATACACGCGTATGGTTCTGAAGCCCAACCCGGCCTTTGTTCCTAAAGTGGTTGGTTCTTGTTCACCGATCGAGCTAGCGGCGTTCGCCGCATTCCCAGGTGAACGGCGAGCGCACACGCTGTGCCCTGTTCGAGCCGTGCGCTCTTATATGGACAGGACGCAGAGCTTCAGGATGAGTGATCAGCTCTTTGTCTCCTGGGCGGAGCCCCGTAAGGGGCAGCCGATCACAAAGCAACGCCTCGCCCACTGGGTGGTGGAGGCTATAGCTTTGGCGTATGGAAGCAGGGGTCTGCAGCCCCCGGCGGGTCTGCATGCACACTCTACCCGCGGGATGGCTGCGTCCTGGGCTTTATTTCGGGGAGTGTCCGTTCAGGACATTTGTTCAGCGGCGAATTGGTCTTCGCCTCTGACTTTTGTCCGGTTCTACATGCTTGACGTGTCTGGACCGTGCGTGGCCAGTGCGGTCCTAGAGTCATAACTGACCTTGTGGACCTTCCCCATCGGCCGGTTCTTGTTCGATAAGCTGTCTGGCAATACGGGAGCTACCATATCCCATAGCGAGACACCGAGTGAATATTATGAAAAAGAACGTTTGGTTATCTAACATAACCCCAGTTCTTAGAATAATATGAGCGAGGTGTCTCGCCAGACGACCCTTCTTGCAGGGCGGCGAGAAGAGGTTTGCTTGTTGAATTGGAGTGCCGTGATCCGCACACGGATTAGTAGTCGGAGCTACGGGGCGTGGCGTATGACGGGCACTTCCACCGGCCAATCAGGATTGGCAGATTGAGATAGATGCTTCTATCAGGGCTGCAGGAGGCTGCATCCCATAGCGAGACACCTCGCTCATATTATTCTAAGAACTGGGGTTATGTTAGATAACCAAACGGTTTCCTCTCTGGTTCCTGCAGCTGCTCCTCAGAGCGGCCTCGGCCGGCGCAGACCTGCCGTCTCTGGACACCCCTTGGAGGGAGTCCAGTTTCCCAGAGACCCTGGACGGCCTTCCGGTAGACCAGTCTGTGTGTGATGGAGAACCCAGCGTTTCCCTGCAGCTGGAACAGAACCACCAGAACCTGCCTGAGAAACTCTGCTTCATATCTGCAAACAAGACAGAACCTTGGAGAGAAGCAGTGTGGAGATGAGAACTGGACCAGCACTGGATCCAGATATAGAGCAGCTATCCATCATCTAGACCCGTCCTGCTTCCACTGGTGGACCAGGGTTCTAAAGTCTATATGGTTGGATTAGGGTTAGGCGTTGGACCAATGTTTGGATCAGAAAGCTGCACAGCAGCGGCCCCCGGGAACTGGAATTTCCCCGCCACGCTTTTTAAAGGTCACCCATAAAACCTCTAAGGAACTTTCCTTATTTCATGTCATATTATTATTTTTCTGTCTTCCCTTTTTTTTTATTGAAAAACCCTTTATTTTCATTGCACTCTTTATTCTTTCATTAGTTGCTTTTTATGTGGACTACTATCTTTAATATAATGTTTTAAACAGTGATGGGACTAACGGCGTTAAAAGTAACGGCGTTACTAACGCCGTTACCTTGTTTTAGTAACGAGTAATCTAACTAATTACTTTGACTGTAACTATAACGCAGTTACCATTGCAGACATTGCGCGTTACTCAGGTCGCACAATGAACCTTTTTTCATGATAGGACTCGTGCGCAGCTGCGTGAAGCTGACACCCCACCCACGTCAAAAAACTCTGCAAATAGACTGAATGGTTAGTGCAACGTTAGTGCAGATTTGTGCAGAAAAAAATATTGTTTGTGCTACTTTTGCTCAAGAGATATTAAAGATTATTTTTTAGGTCATCCAGAGGTGCGCGCCTTGTCATGAGAGAGGGGAGGATGAGAATGGCTGATGTAAAGTGAGATTCCGTCTGTCAGTTGGGTAGGTGGGTGTTTCTGCTGGCGGGTGTTAACGTACAGCACACACAGAGAGATGGAGAGTGAGGAGGACTTCAGCAGCAAAACAGCGTTTTCCACATGGAAATACCGGTTTTACGTCGAGCTGCTCGCTAAAGGCGCGCAACAGTCGCCATGTGCTTGCGCCACAGGAGAACTATGGAGAGCGTGAACGATCAAATGAAAGGGAGAAATCTGGATGGATGGATGGATGGATGCTCTGCCTTTTCAACCTACTGTATTTTTTATTTTAAACATTATTTGATGGCCTTTGTGGCAGGGATGGAGATTCATATTTTATGTCACACGCAGAGTATACATCTAGATAGATAGATAGATAGATAGATAGATAGATAGATAGATGTTGCAGTATCTATAACAACCCAAACACACAGGATTTCAGAATTAGACATCCCCAATTATTAATTTCACCAGATCTGAATGCCCTGTTAAAAAACTTCACATGGTGTTCCCCCTGATGTCATTTACGTTGAGTTGCAATAAATGCTAAACTCTCTGCAGGTTCTTGTCTTTGTCGTCCGCTCTATTCAGCTGGCTTTGAAACACACGGCGAGAAGGTGGGGGCTGGGTGGGGAGGGTTACGGGGGCGAGAAACGCAAAAGTAACGCAATAGTTACTTTTACTAGTAACTAGTTACTTTTATTGTGGAGTAACTCAGTTAGTAACTCAGTTACTTTTTGGGAGAAGTAACTAGTAACTATAACTAATTACTTTTTCAAAGTAACGTGCCCAACACTGGTTTTAAATATATAATCTTTAAAACAAGAAACAAGAGAAACCATTGAAGATCATAAATACAAAAAAACATTCTAGGAACCAGCAGGAACCCTGCAGATAGAGAGCCAAGTGCTGCAGTGTGGTACAGTATAGTATGCTATGCTAATGTATAGTATGCTATGCTAATGTGGTGCAGTGTGGTACTGTATAGCATGCTATGCTAATGTGGTCCAGTATGCTATGCTAATGTGGTGCAGTGTGGTACTGTATAGCATGCTATGTTAATGTGGTGCAGTACCCTGCAGCACCGTACGGTTGGTTATGGTGGAGCAGTTTGATGCCTTGCAGCAGGACGCATCACGCTATGCTGCTATGATGCAGGACATGGAATTGGAGTAAATGTGTTCTATGTGCATGCTGGGTATGATTTGGTGAGGAAGGGTTGGACAGTTTGCTGTGGAACGTTGATGGTTTGGAAAGTCATGGTGCCATGAAGGATGAAGCCAGAGGAGATCCTTCTGGGATCATCCATCAACTCCAGCTCAGATCCCAGACCTTCAAACTTCCTCAGATATCAGACACGACCGACTCATTGATTAAAGAACATTTATTAAAACAGTTCCAGATTTCAAACCGTCCAAAACAAACTGGGTCTGAATGAGCGGAAGCTCTGGACACAGAACTAAACTCTGGGTTAAAAACTGAAATCCAGCTGTTGGCAGTTTGGCTTAAAATGGGAATCAAACTGGGTGAGATGAACTGGAGCCTTTTATTGGTTCTGTTGGACCCCTGGAGGTTCCACTAGGCTGGGTTCCTGAGGTGGTTCTGTTGGGTCCTTTCTTCAGCATTAGCTCATGTTCTAGTCTTTGCTCGGTGCTGTCGGCTCGTCTTAGTTTCTGATTAGGAGCGCTTTTCATTCTGGAGTTCTGTTCATCTCTTGGTGCCATTTTCCTCCTCCTGGATCCTCCTTTTTGTTGTTGAAGTCAGATTCCCTCTTTCTTAATGCTTTCAGGCTGCCGTTCCTGAGGACCTGAAGATCTTCCAGCAGCTCCTTGCTGACGAGCTTCAGCGATGGGGAGGATGGGAAGGATTCCGCTGCTGATTTCCTGGCAGCCGTTGGTCCTTCAGGGAAGTTCCCTCTCATCCTCAGAGCTCCAATAATCCAGGATATGATGAAGTTTATGTCAGTGGACTCATTTTACCACCAGAACAGAGCTACATGAACAGAACCTCAGTGAGGCTGATCTGGTTCCAGACCAAAACTCTAAGAAGCAAACAACAAAGAATCCGAAGGCACCGAGGTTCTTCTATGCGTCTCTTTTCCAGACCTCCTCTCCTGAGATGAACGTGGCTCTGACATTCAGCGCATCATCCAGCAGAACCAGATCTGGGAACAGAGGAAACAGACAGGATGGCTTTTAAAGGCAGCCATTTTCAATGGTTAAACTCAGCTTAACTCAAACTGCTGGGTTTAAAGGTTCACAGCTCAATATGTTCTTTGCTGTGCGGCCCGACGCTCTGACGCAATCTAAAAGGTCACACTGCACGACCAAAAGCCACGTCTGACTCGGCGCCGAGCGATGGCACCGGGCGGACTCGTCAATCTGGAATTGTTTGCACACACGTAAGGTTCTGGTAAATCGACCATGAGGCTGGAACAGCCTGATCCAAAATAATGGATTAAAAAAACTAGTAGAGTATGCCCAGAATCCTGATCCTAGAACTCCCAGAATCCTGATCCTAGAACTCCCAGTATCCTGATCCCAGAACTGCCAGAATCCTGATCCTAGAACTGCCAGAATCCTGATCCTAGAACTGCCAGAATCCTGATCCTAGAACTGCCAGAATCCTGATCCCAGAACTCCCAGTATCCTGATCCCAGAACTGCCAGAATCCTGATCCTAGAACTCCCAGTATCCTGATCCTAGAACTCCCAGAATCCTGATCCTAGAACTCCCAGTATCCTGATCCTAGAACTCCCAGAATCCTGATCCCAGAACTGCCAGAATCCTGATCCTAGAACTCCCAGTATCCTGATCCTAGAACTCCCAGTATCCTGATCCTAGAACTCCCAGTATCCTGATCCTAGAACTCCCAGTATCCTGATCCCAGAACTGCCAGAATCCTGATCCTAGAACTGCCAGAATCCTGATCCCAGAAGTGCCAGAATCCTGATCCTAGAACTGCCAGAATCCTGATTCTAGAACTCCCAGAATGCTGATTCTAGAACTCCCAGAATCCTGATCCTAGAACTGCCAGAATCCTGATTCTAGAACTCCCAGAATCCTGATCCTAGAACTGCCAGAATCCTGATTCTAGAACTCCCAGAATCCTGATCCTAGAACTGCCAGAATCCTGATTCTAGAACTGCCAGAATCCTGATCCTAGAACTGCCAGAATCCTGATTCTAGAACTCCCAGAATCCTGATCCTAGAACTGCCAGAATCCTGATTCTAGAACTCCCAGAATCCTGATCCTAGAACTCCCAGAATCCTGATCCCAGAACTCCCAGAATCCTGATCCTAGAACTCCCAGAATCCTGATCCCAGAACTGCCAGAATCCTGATCCTAGAACTGCCAGAATCCTGATCCTAGAACTGCCAGAATCCTGATCCTAGAACTGCCAGAATCCTCAATCCTTTATTTTTTTTTTTTTAAATAGACATTTCCAAAATTTTGCTCTGATAAGGAGAACATTTCTATCCATGTCCAACCCTAATATGATTTCCCTTTAACTAGTGTTAATCAGGATAGACCACCACTGACCAACAGACGCCTTCAGAACGTCAGCAGACCTAAAGGACTTCAGAGGGGCGGGTTTAGGGTTAACGGACCCTAACCCAGAGAAGGCTTTGGCGGTTCTAACCTGCATCGGCGCCATAGTCCAAGTTCCCCTTCCTGTGGCTGATGCCCAGCAGCTGAGCTGGGTGGAGGGAGGCAGCTTCCAGAGCTTCTTCCACACTGCAGCCTGAAGGAGAAGAACATCTGTGAGACCAGCTGGACCTGGACGATGGGCCCGGTGGGACCAGTATCAGCACAGACCCCCTGGAAACCAGAACTAGCGGTCCTGATCTGCAGGGTGGGGCTGGCAGCTTTGGAGAAGCAGACCGGATGAAGCAGAGATCTGACCTGAAGCCTGTCTGAAGTGCCGCACACACATATCCATGGTGGCTATGCTGCCGCTGAGCGTCTTAGTGCCTGGAACACAAACCGGACATGGAGAGGACTAATAAGCAGCAACTAACATCAAGACATGCAGCGATGTGTGAGGTTTCTCTTCTCCGCCATAACTAGGAGAGTGAAGAACCCGCGGAATGGACATAGGGGATAAGAGTTCCTAGAACTTCTAAAAGTAGAATGGGAGGCAGATCTTTTAGTTATCAGGCTCCTCTCCTGTGGAACCAACTACCAGTTTTAGTCCGTGAGGCAGACACCCTGTCTAGGCTTAAAACTTTCCTTTTTGATAAAGCTTATAGTTAGAGTGGCTCAGGTTATCCTGAGCTATCTCTATAGTTCTGCTGCTATAGGCTTAGACTGCTGGAGGACATAGGGACCCCTTTTTCATCATCCTGCTTCATTCATCTCTCCCATTAACTATAGAAACTCGTCTCTGACTGACAGAAATCTGTGAAGGCTTTAATTCTTCTTCTCTGAACCATAATGTTTTTGTGGACGTTTAGTTCTAGCTCAGCTGGTCCACCGACCCACATGGTGAAAACTCCCTCACTGCTGCAGAGACATTGAGCAAAGGGAGAAGCAGACCTGCTACATAGGCATGGAGACCCTGGATCTCGATGACCTGCTGGCCCAGAGTGTGGCGGCCTGGAGGAAGACCCATGGCTGTGATGGCGTCCGTCACCAACACCAACCCTGAGAGAGAAACGACGACACGTCACCAGACTGAACATCCGGACTTTGTTTATATCCTGGAGGCTAAGTATAGATTGTTTCTTGGAGGAAACAGGATTTCACTCCCACAAACATTCAGAAAACATCAATAATATCTTTGTTATTAAAATTGAAGAGTTTTTCTTTATTAATCAGGCAGCAGTTGGCCGCTAAAGATAACAGGAAATGTTTCCGGTCTACAGACAGGCCCTCCCTGTCAGGGTGGGGGCCGTCCCGCCGCGTTACCGCTGAATAACTGCCACCTGACCAGGACATCAGAACATTGACCCAGCTGGACGGCGTGGATGAGCAGTGAGCGCGGTGAACGTTCCAGGGAAACATCTGGGATGTAAAGTCCTGCTCTTTATTCTGCCGTCTTTAAACCCGCTAACCTTTCTGCAGCGCCGCTATATTCCATCCTGCTGATGAGCGGGACAGTAAACGCCGCTGGTATCGGAGAACGGAGATCAGAGCTCCTCCGGCGCTATCAGGCGCCCTGTGAAAAAAAACGCAGAGCCGGACTGATCTGGGGTCCGATTAGAGTAGGAGGTCCCAAACCTGCGGCTGTTAGTAGATTAGGAGCTGGACTGATCAGGGATCAGCAGACCGCCAACCCAACAGCAACGCAGACCAGAACCCGTCCAGAACCCTTTAGATCCAAACTCTGCAGTCATGCATGTAGATCTAGCGCCATCAGGAGCAGCAGCGGTGACCTGGACCGACCCTCTCTAACGCCGGCGCCATCAGGAGCAGCAGCGGTGACCTGGACCGACCCTCTCTAACGCCGGCGCCATCAGGAGCAGCAGCGGTGACCTGGACCGACCCTCTCTAACGCTCTGCGCCATCAGGAGCAGCAGCGGTGACCTGGACCGACCCTCTCTAACGCTCTGCGCCATCAGGAGCAGCAGCGGGGACCTGGACCGACCCTCTCTAACGCTCTGCGCCATCAGGAGCAGCAGCGGTGACCTGGACCGACCCTCTCTAACGCCGGCGCCATCAGGAGCAGCAGCGGTGACCTGGACCGACCCTCTCTAACTCCGGCGCCATCAGGAGCAGCAGCGGTGACCTGGACCGAACCTCTCTAACGCCTGCGCCATCAGGAGCAGCAGCGGTGACCTGGACCGACCCTCTCTAACGCCGGCGCCATCAGGAGCAGCAGCGGTGACCTGGACCGACCCTCTTTAACTCCGGCGCCATCAGGAGCAGCAGCGGTGACCTGGACCGAACCTCTCTAACGCCTGCGCCATCAGGAGCAGCAGCGGTGACCTGCACCGACCCTCTCTAACGCCGGCACCATCAGGAGCAGCAGCGGTGACCTGGACCGACCCTCTCTAACGCTCTGCGCCATCAGGAGCAGCAGCGGTGACCTGGACCGACCCTCTCCAACGCCGGCGCCATCAGGAGCAGCAGCGGTGACCTGGACCGACCCTCTCTAACTCCGGCACCATCAGGAGCAGCAGCGGTGACCTGGAACGACCCTCTCTAACGCCGGCGCCATCAGGACTATGGATCGCTGACAGACGGCTGCAGCTTCAGATGCTCAGACTGACCCAAAGCTTCTGAGAGACCAACCAGGCAGCGCCGGGGGAGTTTATGGTTGGACTCCGCCTCCCTCCGTGATGTCACTGTGGGCAACGACCCGTCCAAGTGGGTTAATGTGCTGATGAACGTTATTTTTTCCAGATGATCTAATGTTTGTTTGCACATGCTCGGTGATCCGGGCCCGCCGGAGCCCGGTGGGTCAGAACCTGATGGATGCGCTCTGTGGGCGATCCGCAGGGCGGCCGGGTTGGTGTGGATCCCGTCTGAGATCATCCCGTAGAACACCGTCCTTCCTGCTGGGATGCGGTCGCTGGTCAGGAGTCCCACGATGCCCGGGTCACGGTGGTGGAACTGGTCCAAACAGACGGAACATTTGATCAATGGGAGTTTAAGGTTCTGACCCGGCCTTCAGTTCTGATGGATCAGGACTCACAGGCAACATGGCGTTGAAGAGATGCGTGATGAAGGAGGCTCCATTCTGGACGGCGTCCTCAGCCTGCGACAGGTTGGCCACCGAATGACCTGCAAACAGCCGCTGCATGTCACACACCAGAACCAGAATCAGAACCAGAACCCAGAGTCAGAAATCACCTAAAGACACAGTCACGCCCTGCTGGTGAAGCTTCCTGACCACTGATTGGCTGTTGGGCAGCTCTGGAGCCAGCGTCACCATGGCGACATTCTCTAGGCTGCCGTAGGCCTCCATCAGGTCCTCCATCCCTCCAGAACCAAAGGTCCGCAGGTACCGCTCCGGGTGGGCTCCTTTCTTCTCAGCGCTGATGAACGGACCCTCCAGGTGGAACCCTGCAGAACCCAGGAAGAATCAGACCAGAACCAGTACTAGAATCAGACCAGAATCAGAACCAGGAGTAGAATCAGACCAGAACCAGTACTAGAATCAGACCAGAATCAGAACCAGGAGTAGAATCAGACCAGAACCAGGACTAGAATCAGACCAGAATCATAACCAGACCAGAACCAGGACTAGAATCAGACCAGAATCAGAACCAGGAGTAGAATCAGACCAGAACCAGGAGTAGAATCAGACCAGAATCAGAACCAGGACTAGAATCAGACCAGAACCAGAACCAGGAGTAGAATCAGACCAGAACCAGAACCAGGACTAGAATCAGACCAGAATCAGAATCAGACCAGAACCAGGACTAGAATCAGAACCAGGACTAGAGTCAGACCAGAACCAGAACCAGGACTAGAATCAGACCAGATTTAGACCAGAATCAGAACTAGACCAGGACCAGAATCAGACTAGGAACAGAAATAGAACAGAACCAGAACCACATCAGGACAAAAACCACACCAGGACCAGAATCAGAACCAGACAGACTGGACCAGAACCAGACAACCTGGACCAGAACCAGACCAACCGAACCAACCGGACCAGGACCAGAATCCAAACAGGACCAGATCGACTGGACCAGAACCGGAACCTGACCGATCAGACCGGAACCTTTTCTCAGTACCTTCAACTGTGAAGAAGGACTGAACCAGAAGCAGCAGAATTTGGATCTCGGAGGTGTTATACAGAAGGAGGAGAAGATCCAGCAATCTCCTGACCCGGGTCAGAATCGGGTCATTATTATGCCCATGAGCTCAAGGACCAGGTCAGCTGGTAATGACCCATCAGAGCTACAGGGGTCCCATGAGGTTCCCCTCAGTGAGCTTCAACCTGAAGGTTCTGGACTGTTCTGGATCCAGTTCTGCTTGCTACACCTGGTCTGGGTATCAAACCAGTCTGAGTTCTGATGAAAACAATGAGCAAGAAGAACCTTCAGGGCGGTTCTGTAAAGATGGAGAACATCTGCTGGGGTTGAAGCCAATCTTACCCAGAACTCCAGCTCCATTTTGTCCTCCATCGTGAACCTGAACCTGAGGCAGAACCTGAAAAACAGACAGAGTTGGATTTGAAATCCAGAAGCTTCATCTGTGGGATCAGCTCCAGCTCAGATAAGCCACCTTATGGTAGACGGCAGACGGCGACGTCACCAGGGTGGGACAGAAGGAGGTCACGCCGTGCTCCAGGACCTTCTTGGCCACCAGGGACACTCCAGCAGAGACGTCATCAGAGGGCTGAGAGAAGTCCACGCCATAGCCTCCTGCAGGAGGAGAAGAAAGTTCCACATCAGCGGCCGCGGTCCTACGGGTTCCTCTGCAGAAGGAGGCGTTCCTCTGAGAAAGGAGACCTTCCTCTGCAGAAGGAGACCTTCCTCTGAGGAAGGAGACGTTCCTATGTAGAAGGAGACGTTCCTCTGAGGAAGGAGACGTTCCTCTGCAGAAGGAGACGTTCCTCTGAGGAAGGAGACGTTCCTCTGCAGAAGGAGACGTTCCTCTGAGGAAGGAGACGTTCCTATGTAGAAGGAGACCTTCCTCTGAGGAAGGAGAGACGTTCCTCTGCTGAAGGAGAGGCGTTCCTCTGCGGAAGGAGACGTTCCTCTGCGGAAGGAGACGTTCCTCTGCTGAAGGAGACGTTCCTCTGCTGAAGGAGACGTTCCTCTGCGGAAGGAGACGTTCCTCTGCGGAAGGAGACGTTCCTCTGCGGAAGGAGACGTTCCTCTGCGGATGGAGGCGTTCCTCTGCGGAAGGAGGCGTTCCTCTGCGGAAGGAGACGTTCCTCTGCTGAAGGAGACGTTCCTCTGCGGAAGGAGACGTTCCTCTGAGGAAGGAGACGTTCCTCTGCGGAAGGAGACGTTCCTCTGAGGAAGGAGACGTTCCTCTGCGGAAGGAGACGTTCCTCTGCGGAAGGAGACGTTCCTCTGAGGAAGGAGACGTTCCTCTGAGGAAGGAGACGTTCCTCTGAGGAAGGAGACGTTCCTATGAGGAAGGAGACGTTCCTCTGAGGAAGGAGACGTTCCTCTGAGGAAGGAGACGTTCCTCTGAGGAAGGAGACGTTCCTCTGAGGAAGGAGACGTTCCTCTGAGGAAGGAGACGTTCCTCTGAGGAAGGAGACGTTCCTTCACATTCCTCACCGTTGATCTGGACGTCAATGAATCCCGGTGCGATGATGCTGTCCTCGCAGTCCACCAGCTGGTCGGCGTAGCCCTGTTCATCGAAGAACAACTTCTCTGGATCTAGTATCTTCCCTTCACGCACCCACAGGTCCTCTCTGCTCAGACAAAGATCGGCTTCAGGTTCTGATCCAGCTCCTCTAGACGGTCTGAGAAGCTGCAGCAGCTGCCTGGACTCTACGTCCTGAAACCGGCTGGATCCTGACAGGAACTGGATTTGGGTTGGATTCTGGTTCATTGTCGATGGAGTTCTGATCTGATCAGAACCCAATCCGGTTCTACAAGTGATTTTGCGAGATGAGCCGAGGCTTCGAGGCGTGTGTCGAGTAATGGAGGTGGCGTTTCCCCAAAGCGTGTGTCGAGGCGTGATTCATTTAGAGGAGGGGCCAAAATTGATGATGTCCGAGGCCTCGCTACCGTAATACCAGGCGACCGCTTCGGGAAGCGCAAGAACTTTGACAGGCATCTAAACAGCCTCAGTGTTCAGTCCAGATGAGCTGCTGTCAGCTGGATAGAGTTTGGATAGATTCTAAGAATAGATTGGTTGGAAAAAACAACCAATCTAGTTGTTTAAAACTATTTTGGAGAGAATAAACAATGTAATGATCAAAATCTGAGCACGCCACCGGACAAAGTTCGTGTTAGCACGTCAGTGTTACGTAGTATTTTCTCCATTTGAGGGTAATCCATACATGTGGCGTCATCTGTAAGACACAGACTCTCACTCCAGAGGTTGATGGTTCAAGACCTGACTTTGACATTTGAACGTTGCGATTAAACTTAATTATTTTGGATAATGACAATAATTTGCATTGGTTTGCCCGAGTAAAAATATAAATTGGGTAAAAACGCTGCCAAATTAGGTCGGTTTAGCCAAAAAAAAAGATTTTACAGAACTTTCAACCTGATTAAAAGCAAAAACTGGAAAAACTATAACGTGTGAATAAAAATAACACTTTCACTGCCTGCTTAAGTTTATTTCACTAAAGTGGCAGAAAAACTCTGCACCTTAAATGATTGTTCTAAGAAATTTTAGACTTAAAAAAATTGCAAAATATTTTATTATACACACTTACAATTTCAGAGGAACATAAAAAGGGGGAAAAAAATCACAGATTTTATTACTAACTGTAGTTCTGCTTTACACCAGTAGGTGGTGACGTGTTCACATGGAGCCTCAGGAACTGTGAGGATCAGTTGAATGATTCTGAAGCATTTAGCCTCATGAGGCTTCATCTCACTATCACCAGGTTCTACCCACATAAACCAGAACCTGATCCAGGAAGTTTCTCATGTTCCCTGGGAGCTGGATCTCAGAGCAGTTTAGCTAGTTAGCTGCTATCTTCTGACATAGAAAGTACACCTAGATCAGAGCTGTCGAAATGAACTGAATAGAACAAACAGTCCAGCATCAGCCTGGAATGACCTCCATCCAAAGGGTCTCCAACTATCCCATAATATGTTAAATAACTGCAGCTTTCTGAGGGCATCATAGCTCTCCCTCCAGAGCGTGACCTTTGACCTTGCCGGTACCTCTGCAGCGCGTGTCCTCTCAGGATTCTGCAGTTGACGAAACGGCGGATCGGAGCATCAGACACGCTTCTGTTGGACGGCATGTCTCTCTCTCTCAGGAGGCCAGAGACGAAGCCCCGGATGGTCTCAGCCAATCAGACGCTGCCTGTACAGGAACAGGAAGTTAGAGCGCTACCCTGTCAGGTGTGGAGGAGGTGACTACATGGAGGAGGTGACTAGAGAGGAGGTGACTACATGGAGGTGACTAGAGAGGAGGTGACTAGAGAGGAGGTGACTACATGGAGGAGGTGACTAGAGAGGAGGTGACTACATGGAGGTGACTAGAGAGGAGGTGACTAGAGAGGAGGTGACTACATGGAGGAGGTGACTACAGGGAGGAGGTGACTAGAGAGAGGAGGTGACTAGAGAGGAGGTGACTACATGGAGGAGGTGACTACAGGGAGGAGGTGACTAGAGAGAGGAGGTGACTACAGGGAGGAGGTGACTACAGAGGAGGTTACTATAAAGGAGGTTACTAGAGAGAGGAGGTGACTGGAGAGAGGAGGTGACTACAGAGGAGGTGACTAGAGAGGAGGTGACTAGAGAGAGGAGGTGACTACAGAGGAGGTGACTAGAGAGAGGAGGTGACTACAGAGGAGGTGACTAGAGAGAGGAGGTGACTACAGAGGAGGTGACTAGAGAGGAGGTGACTAGAGAGAGGAGGTGACTACAGAGGAGGTGACTACAGAGGAGGTGACTACAGAGGAGGTGACTGGAGAGGTTGACTAGAGAGGAGGTGACTAGAGAGAGGAGGTGACTACAGAGGAGGTGACTAGAGAGGTTGACTAGAGAGGAGGTGACTAGAGAGGTTGACTAGAGAGGAGGTGACTAGAGAGAGGAGGTGACTACAGAGGAGGTGACTAGAGAGGAGGTGACTAGAGAGAGGAGGTGACTACAGAGGAGGTGACTAGAGAGGAGGTGACTAGAGAGAGGAGGTGACTAGAGAGGAGGTGACTAGAGAGGAGGTGACTAGAGAGGAGGTGACTACAGAGGGGGTGACTAGAAGGGATGTGGTGACTAGAGGAGAAGAGGTGACTACAGGGTGGAGGTGACTAGAGAGAGGAGGTGACTAGAGAGAGGAGGTGACTAGAGAGAGGAGGTGACTATAAAGGAGGTTACTAGAGAGAGGAGGTGACTAGAGAGAGGAGGTGACTAGAGAGAGGAGGTGACTAGAGAGAGGAGGTGACTATAAAGGAGGTTACTAGAGAGAGGAGGTGACTAGAGAGAGGAGGTGACTAGAGAGAGGAGGTGAGTAGAGAGAGGAGGTGACTACAGAGGGGGTGACTAGAAGGGATGTGGTGATTAGAGGAGAAGAGGTGACTACAGGGTGGAGGTGACTAGAGAGAGGAGGTGACTAGAGAGAGGAGGTGACTATAAAGGAGGTTACTAGAGAGAGGAGGTGACTAGATAGAGGAGGTGACTACAGGGAGGAGGTGACTAGAGAGAGGAGGTGACTAGAGGGGAGGTGACTACAGGGAGGAGGTGACTAGAGAGAGGAGGTGACTAGACAGAGGAGGTGACTAGATAGAGGAGGTGACTAGAGGGGAGGTGACTACAGGGAGGAGGTGACTAGAGAGAGGAGGTGACTAGAGGGGAGGTGACTACAGGGAGGAGGTGACTAGAGAGAGGAGGTGACTAGACAGAGGAGGTGACTAGATAGAGGTTACTAGAGAGAGGAGGTGACTAGAGAGAGGAGGTGACTAGAGAGAGGAGGTGACTAGAGAGAGGAGGTGAGTAGAGAGAGGAGGTGACTAGAGAGAGGAGGTGACTAGAGAGGAGGTGACTACAGAGGGGGTGACTAGAAGGGATGTGGTGACTAGAGGAGAAGAGGTGACTACAGGGTGGAGGTGACTAGAGAGAGGAGGTGACTAGAGAGAGGAGGTGACTAGAGAGAGGAGGTGACTATAAAGGAGGTTACTAGAGAGAGGAGGTGACTAGATAGAGGAGGTGACTACAGGGGGGAGGTGACTAGAGAGAGGAGGTGACTAGAGAGAGGAGGTGACTACAGGGAGGAGGTGACTAGAGAGAGGAGGTGACTAGACAGAGGAGGTGACTAGATAGAGGAGGTGACTAGATAGAGGATGTGACTAGAGGGGAGGTGACTACAGGGAGGAGGTGACTAGAGAGAGGAGGTGACTAGAGGGGAGGTGACTACAGGGAGGAGGTGACTAGAGAGAGGAGGTGACTAGACAGAGGAGGTGACTAGATAGAGGTTACTAGAGAGAGGAGGTGAGTAGAGAGAGGAGGTGACTAGAGAGAGGAGGTGACTAGAGAGAGGAGGTGAGTAGAGAGAGGAGGTGACTAGAGAGAGGAGGTGACTAGAGAGGAGGTGACTACAGAGGGGGTGACTAGAAGGGATGTGGTGACTAGAGGAGAAGAGGTGACTACAGGGTGGAGGTGACTAGAGAGAGGAGGTGACTAGAGAGAGGAGGTGACTAGAGAGAGGAGGTGACTATAAAGGAGGTTACTAGAGAGAGGAGGTGACTAGATAGAGGAGGTGACTACAGGGGGGAGGTGACTAGAGAGAGGAGGTGACTAGAGAGAGGAGGTGACTACAGGGAGGAGGTGACTAGAGAGAGGAGGTGACTAGACAGAGGAGGTGACTAGATAGAGGAGGTGACTAGATAGAGGAGGTGACTAGAGGGGAGGTGACTACAGGGAGGAGGTGACTAGAGAGAGGAGGTGACTAGATAGAGGAGGTTACTAGAGAGAGGAGGTGAGTAGAGAGAGGAGGTGACTAGAGAGAGGAGGTGACTAGAGAGAGGAGGTTACTAGAGAGAGGAGGTTACTAGAGAGAGGAGGTTACTAGAGAGAGGAGGTGACTAGAGAGAGGAGGTGTAGCAGTTGGTGCAGAGATCACCTCCTCCTGATCCGGAGTCTCAGTCTTTAACATTCTTTGTTTCTTTTTTAATTTTCTCTATAAATGAAACATGATTAAAAAAGAAGAGCAACAGAGAAATGAAAAGTCCCACTGTGGGGCCCCATGTGGTCCCTGAGGGCCCCTTGGTGCCAGCTGGCCCGGGGCCCATAGTGAACTCCTGCTTGGGGCCTCCTGTGGCCCTTGGCGGCCCCTGGCTGACAGCAGCGATGCAGCAGATCTGATCTTATCTGGAGCAGACTTTGACCTCTGACCTTCACTCAGCTAACCCAGGCCTCCGCCTTTAAACCAAAATGCGTTCAAAAACAGTCCGATTAATGAGCTGCTGCACCTTCTTACCTCCGGCGATGCTTCTACCGGGGGCCCCTTCGGCTCAGGCCAGGACCCGGTGGGAGGCTCAAGACCCGGCAGTCAGCAGACAGCCTGCGAAGCAGCAGGAGAACCAGGAGCAGCGGGAGCTGAAGGAGGTTCGGACCGTTTTCTGATCCGCCTGCAGCTGGAAGGCTGAGCGGAGGAGTCATGTGACCGAGCAGAGCTGCAGGTCAGCTGACCGGAAACAGCCGCTCAAAGCTGTGACGTAGTTCAGATCTGCTGAGTCAGCTGACTTTAAAACACAAGAAAGTTTCAAAGGTTATAAAGTCTAAAAACAAATCATTAAAACGTTTAACCAAAATCTTTAGTATAAAAGTGTAAAAAGGAAGAATTTGCATTATAACAATGATTGAATGAACTCAGCATTATTTAAGCTTCTCCCCTTGGGGAGCAGCGGGTTGCCATGGTGCAGCAGGGTGGGGCTTAGGTAGTGATGGACAAATGAAGCTTCATGTGAACATGTCACCACCTACTGGTGGAGAGCATAACTACAGTTAGTGATAGAAGCTGGGATTGTTCTCCTTGTTTTTTATTATTTAAGTTCCTTTGAAATTTTTAATGATTAGTGTGTATAATTAAATCTTTTTAAAGATTTTTGTGTAATATGTCATAGAAGAGAACAAGCATTTAAGGTTCACTGTTTTCTGCCATTTTAGTGAAAGAAGCTCAAGCAGGCAGAGAAAGGGCAAATTGGGCACAGATGAGCAAAATGAAAGATTTCAGTCATTTTTATTCAAACATTATAGTTTTTCCACAGTTTTTGGTTTTAATTTGGTTGTAAGTTATGTGTTCAAACAAAGGGTGTAACTATTCCTGATTCCTGGTTGATGGGACAGGTGTTGTGAATGAAACGGTGTCCAGCTTGAAAGAGCTCCTGTGTGTCGCTGAATGTGAGCATTGATGACTGAAAGACATCTTCTGCCTCCATTTATCTGTTTACTACAGTCTGTTGGATTCATGTTAATGAAGATTTAAAGACATTTCAATTAGTGGAAAAAATACAACAAAAACTTTCACGACCCCCATGCAGTACCTCTGCAGACTCCTTAGGGGTCGTGGACCTCCTGTTGAAGACCTCTGCACTAGTCCACCACTCCACCTATATATCATCTTAGCTTTTGTAGCTTCACATGTAGCTACTATGGATGTTGGTGGTGCATCCTGGGATGGGCGGCGGCCTAACGATCGGTTGGTTCACCTCAGACTGAGCCGATACGCTGGTATTAACTCGAGCTTTTCCCTGAGTAAAGCTGACTCCACTGACTCTGCATCGTCTTCAGCCCCCTCTCTGATCCCATGGAAACGAATGTGGTCTCTCCTGGCCCCGGGCCCCTGGTCTCTGAAGCCATTTAGTCCTCCTACTGTCTCCCACCTAAACTCCCTTATCTCCCGCAGGACACCCTCTAATTCTGACATCTTCTCTTGTCCTTGCTTAGTTTCGGTTGCTAGTTCCGCTGCTGACTCCTCTGCTTGCTCCGCTGCTAGCTCCACTGCTAGCTCCACTTTTAGTTCCGCTGCTGACACCGTTGTTAGCTTCACTGCTAGCTCCACTGTTAGTTCCGCTGCTTGCTCCGCTGCTGACTCTGCTGCTAGTTCTGCTGCTGACTCCGCTGCTAGCTCCACTGCTAGTTCCGCTGCTTGCGCTGCTGCTGACTCCGCTGCTAGTTCTGCTGCCCACACCGCTGCTAGCTTCGCTGCTAGCTCCGCTGCTTGCTCTGCTGATAGCTCCGCTGCTAGTTCCGCTGCTTGCTTCGCTACTAGTTCCGCTGCTTGCTCTGCTGCTGACTCCGCTGCTAGTTCTGCTGCTTACACCGCTGCTAGCTTCGCAGCTAGCTCCGCTGCTTGCTCTGCTGATAGCTCCACTGCTAGTTCCGCTGCTGGCTCCACTGCTAGCTCTGCTGCTAGCTCCACCTCTAGTTCCGCTGCTGTCACCGCTGCTAGCTTCACTGCTAGTTCTGCTACTTGTTCCACTGCTGACTCCGTTGCATGCTCTGCTGCAGACTCCACTGCTAGGTTTTCTGCTAGCTCCGCTGCTTTCTCTGCTGCTAGCTTCCCTGCTAAGTCCACTGCTAGTTCCGCTGCTGACTCCACTGCTAGCTCCGCTGCTAGTTCTGCTGCTGACACCACTGCTAGCGTTGCTGCTAGCTCCACTGCTAGTTCCGCTGCTTGCTCCGCTGCTAGCTCCGCTGCTAGTTCCGCTGCTGACTCGGCTGCTGACTCAGCTGCTAGCTCCACTGCTAGTTCTGCTGCTTGCTCCGCTGCTGACTCCGCTGCTAGCTCTGCTGCTAGCTCCACTGCTAGTTCCGCTGCTTGCTCCGCTGCTGACTATTAGGACTATTAGGGACTGTTTGAAATAGAGGCCAGAATGTTTCAGACTCCAGGTTTGTTCAGCATTTTACTGTTTTCTTCAACTGACTGTAACTAGTTTAACTGTTTTTGTGGACCTTCACAGCTGTTTGCAGGTTTCAGGTTAATTAGAAAAACCTTGTCTAGATCAGAACAGACATAGAACTGTGAGGACTGCTATGATTGTGTTGTTCTTGTCTTTGCAAAGATAAAGTGTTAACTGAGTGAATTACCATCAATCTCCTTTATTTAATGGATTATAAAGCAATTCACTCTTTTCCTATAACAGGGAAAAAAGAAAAGAAAAAAAAACAAGAAAGTCGATCAATCATTTTAAAATTGTCTGTAAAATCATCTTTGATGGCAGAAGCAACAGTAGATCTGGACAAACTTTAAATTCAGAGTTTTCTATTCTGTATAATTCTATATATTTCTATATAATATTACTACTTATTCTGAAATTGTTGAAACATTTAGTGATGCATCAAATCGTAGGGTAGATCAAATCAACATTTTTCCCAGTTTGGAGTGAAAGTAGAGAAAGAAGAAATGATCATTTATCAGCAAACAGCAGAAATAAAATCCTTTCATTTCCTTTTGATTTCTGTTGATTAAAGAATGAAGAACAGTTTGGATCAAAGTTCATCATCCAGTCAGAACCATCCAACAGAGCCGGGTAATCGGCCCTCAGTCCGGGGCCGCCCCACCACAGCCATGGCCTCTGCCTTCAGCTGCAGCACACCAACAGCCCAACTCTGGCACACTAATCTGTAACGCATCATCCCAACACTAGAGGGAGCTAAAAGGCAGCCTCAGCTTCCCTTCAGAACCAGTGGAGTCCGTTGTTTATTTCCTCGGACTGTTGTTAGTTAGTTTTGATTCAGTTGTTTTTTTATTACAGAAGGTCTGAGAGGAAAAGAAAACTTTTATATCAGGGAGAAACGACGGTTCTTCCTCCTAAACATCCACCTTCAGCAGCTCGTAATCCCAGTTAGAGTCAATCACTCTGGGCGGAGCCTATTCGCTTTACAGTGATGACATCAGAGGAAGTCAAACTAATTAGATCAACCGACTCCAATGAGAAATAATTCAAAAACCTAAAAGATGATAAAAACCATTGTTAAGTTCTGCTGCTTCTGACCGGTTCCCCTGATGTTTGGGCCGATATTAGAACCCATTAAAACATCAGAACACTTCCAGACTCAAGGCATCCCAGAAGGCTTCTAACTGGTATCGGTACTGGAACCAGTTCAGCTAACTGAGCTAACAGGACCCCGCTGATCGTCGGCTCCACAAATTGGACCTCCATGGGTTAGAAGAAAGCAGGAGGGACAGCGACTGCACCAACCTATGGGGTCCATCACCCTGCTGTGAGACACGGCGGTGACACCAGGATGCTGTGGGGCCAACGGGTGGAGTTAACCAGAGACTGGTTGGAGGTCCACCTTCCAGCAGGAGAAGCATCCAGAAAAGTCAGACCACAGCTGGGTCATGGGATGGAATGGCCTAGTCAAAGTCCAGAGCTGAGTCTCAGATGTTCTCCATCCAATCTGATCCAGGATCAGGTGTTTCACTCAGAACTACTAAAGTCTGTAGACATTGGAAGCGGGTGGAGATAAACCCAGAAGGTCCTACAGCCAGAGGGGGTTCAAATTCAAGAGGCATGAAGATAAAAGCACACCGCACTTTTCAGGTTGGAAACCATGATTGGTGGTCCTTCAGATGTTGATCTGCTTTGTGTGGATCTGCGGCAGAAGATAAACATGGTCTGCAACCTCAGAGTAAACAGTCTGGAGAAAACTGGAAACATCACAAAGTCCTGCAGGACAGCAAAACAGCGTGTTTCATGGAGCATCTCAGGTCCTTCAGCTGCTTCCACCGGCTCCAACAAGCAAGAAGGTCTGCAGCCGAGCACCTCCCTCCCTCCCTCCCTCCCTCCCTCCCTCCCTCCCTCCGTCTCCCCCATTGTCTCCCTCAACCCCTCCTCATTCCTAAAAGTCCACAATAAACCCGGTTTCCAGTAAATCCAGATACTTCCTAGGTGCTGCTGATCTCCATGGTGACCAGGCCCACTGGGGCCACCCATGAGGAGAAGAGGGAAGGCTTGGCAGCAGCTGATCCGTTTCTGACGTCAGCCTTGGTCTAAATGAAGCGGCCCGGCCCATTCAGGCCCGGCCGGAGACCTTAATCCTCCGCTTCTCTAAGCTGTGAATACGCAGCAGACAGGAGCTTTATGTCTGCTGAGGAACACGGGTCAGACTGGAAGTTCTGCTGATCTGGTTCTCAGCCACAGTGGCCCTTAATGAATGAATGAAGGAAAAACACTTTCTGACCCAGAAGGTTCTGTTAGAGGAAACCAGACAAACAGATTTCACAGGTTAGTGTGAGGATGGAGGCTCTGTTTGCTAATGGACCTCCTTCCTCCTCCTCAGACACCAGGAAGCGTCAGAGAACAAAGGAGATGAAGCAGCAGCAGCACCTCCTCCCCCACCTCAGGACCTAGAAAAGTTTTCTAGAATGTCCTTCTTTCATTAAAAAGAGAGATCATATCTCTCCTATCCTGGCTTCTCTTCATTGGCTTCCTGTTAAATTCAGAATAGAATTTAAAATCCTTCTTCTCACATATAAAGCCTTAAATGGCCAAGCTCCATCTGATATCAGAGATCTGATTGTTCCTTATGTTCCTAACAGAGCACTTCGCTCTCAATCTGCAGGTTTACTAGTGGTTCCTAGAATTTCTAAAAGTAGAATGGGAGGCAGATCTTTTAGTTCTCAGGCTCCTCTCCTGTGGAACCAACTACCAGTTTTAGTC